GTGCTGCAGAGGAGGAGGGCAGGGCCAGGTGTCACCGTCCGCCCAGCGTGGGGACCCTGCAGCCACCTGGCAGGCGCCCCTGCTCCCTGGTGTCACCCAGGGAAACACCACCAGCACTGTGGACCCACAGAGCTGAGGCGAAGGGGCAGGGTTGGGGGTGGGCAGGAGGACCAGGACCCCAGGGCCTGCACTTAGCCAATGAACCTGCAGCCCGCCAGCACGGGGGCCGAGGAAGGGCTGCAGCAGGGCAGGCGCGGGAGGCGGGGCCGGTGCTCCCCCGCAGTCACCATGACCAGTGTCCCGGCAATCCTCTGGCAATGGCCAGCACAGTCCCAGGACTGTCTGGGAGGCTGACGGGGAGGAAGGGAGTGACAGAACGGTAATCTGGGCCACGGGGGAGGGAGAAGCCCTCTGGGGAGCCTCCGGCCTCTCTCGGCCTCCCCGACCCCAGGGGGAGACCAGGCGGCCAGCCACACACAACCTCAGCCAACTCACACCACAGACGCCCGGGCCCCCCACACTCGCAGTCCACCCAGCCCCGCTAGGCTGGGGCTCTCCACCTGCCACCCATGAGGCCCACAGGGGAGCCCAGCTGCCCAGCCGGCCCAGGCCCACGTGAGCCCACGGGGAGCGAGCAGGACCGTGAGCCTGTTTATCAGATGCCCGCCTGTCTGTCCAGCACTGGTTTTCCTTGTCGAACCCCAAGGGCCTGGAGCATCTTGAGAGACAGCGAGTGACAGCCCAGAGCCCCCGGAGCCCGGCGGGCACCAGCAGGAGCCGGGGAGCCGGAGGACTCCTGCCCGCCCAGCCTGCCCCGAGGCCCACACGCTGACTCCCGCCCCCTAGACACTTCCCGGCCTCCTCACCCTCAGGCTTCTCTCACTGCCCCTGTGCACTCGGCCTCCCTGGGGGGGCTCTGGGGGTAGGGCTTTGTTCCCACTGTGTCCCCAGGCCAGCAGGTGACCGAGGGAAGGACCAGAGGGAAGGCAGAGCGTGGGAAGCACAGCGCCCCCACAGCCCCAGGCCCGGCTCAGCCCGGCCAAGCTGACCGCTGCGGCCTCGGCAGAGGGGGGCCGTCCCACACTGACCGCAGGCCCTGTCCACGCAGGTCTGGGTGACAGACCCTTGGTGACCCCAGGCCTCCGGAGGCTGAAGGACTCTTGGCAGTCAGGTAAAGGGCACGGGCATCCTCCTGTCCTCGGGAGCTGCCCCGAGTACCAGGCCACACCCCGTCACAGGGTGGTTGTGGTCTGGGGCTTCCGCGAGGGGCTTCAGCTACAGAAGGAGCTGAGCCGACCCCTCACCCGGGGGAGGCACACCCATGCTGCCAAGAGGGGCGGGGGTCCTGCAGGATGGGGGCTGACCTGCAGCTTCACACCCTACAGACCCCAACCAAGACAGAGGCCTGCACTCCCATAAGGCTTGGTGTGGGAGGCAGACCCCAGCCCAGAGCTGGATGGGGGTAGGCCTTCCTCCCCCCAACCCCAGGAGGGCTCTGAGACCCCGCCCCCTCTCCACAGCCGCAGACGGGGGCCGGTGCTCCACCTGGGGGGCCGGCCACTTCTCCACCTTCGACGGCCACGTGTACGACTTTTTGGGGACCTGCAACTATGTCTTCGCGGCCGTCTGTGAGGACGCCTCATCCGTCTTCAGTGTCCAGCTGCGGCGAGGGCCCAGCGGGAACATCTCCCGGATCATCGTGGAGCTGGGGGTCTCCGTGGTCACCGTGCAGAAGGCAGTCATCTCCGTCAAGGACGTGGGGTAGGCCGTGGGGCCGGGCCGGGCGGCGGGGGCCCGAGGGAGCGGCCGCTGACTGCTCATGCCCCACAGGGTCGTCAGCCTGCCCTACACCAGCAACGGCCTCCAGATCACACCCTTCGGCCAGAGCGTGCAGCTGGTGGCCAAGCAGCTGGAGCTGGAGCTGGTGGTCATGTGGGGACCGGGCGCCCACCTCATGGTGAGGACGCGGCAGGGGTGGGGAGTGGCCCTCTGGGACAGGGCGTGGGCTTTGTGGCAGCTGTGTCCTCACTTGAAAAAGAGGACAACCTAGAGAGCACGAGAGGTGCCGGGAGTGGGGGCGGGCAGTCCCTGGACCCCAACCTGCCTGTGAGGGGTCTCCGGGCCCTGGAGCAGGCGAGAGCAGCCTCAGCGGCTGGGCCAGGGGTCCTGGGGCCCGGGGGGCCCTGTGCCCTTCCCGCCCCCTGACAGCAGCACCCGGCCCCTCCAGGTCCTGGTGGAGAAGAGGTACATGGGCAGGATGTGTGGACTGTGTGGGAACTTCGATGGCGAAGAGACCGATGAGTTTCTAAGCGAGGACGGTAGGTGGGGTGGGGCCCAGACCGCCCTGTGGCCCTGCGCCCACAGTGCTGACCCACCCCATTCCGCCCCCAGGCAAACTCCTGGAGCCCCACAAGTACGCCGCTCTCCAGAAGCTGGATGACCCCAACGAGATCTGTGCCCATGAGGCCGTCCCCCGCCCCCAGGCCCTGCAGGCAGAGCACGTATGTGAGGACTCAGGCTCCCCGGGGTCAGAGGGGCCCTTCAGCAGGGGCAGGGCCAGCCCACAGGGTCTGACAGGGTCGCCGAGGGCAACGACACCCCCAGCCTTCCAAGTCACACGTGTGGTGTGGGACACGGCCTCGACCTTCATGACCCTGAGTGGCCCTGTGCCCAGGCCCAGACCTGCATCCAGCTGCTGACCCTGGTGTCCCCCGAGTGCAACGTGTCCCGGGAGCCATTCCTGCTGGGCTGCCAGGAGGACATGGCCGTGTGCGCCCAGCCGGGCCGGCAGGACTGCGCCTGCGCCACGCTGTCTGAGTACTCGCGGCAGTGCAGCATGGCTGGCCAGCCCGTCCACAGCTGGCGCGGCCCTGACCTCTGCTGTGAGTCCTGCGGATGGCGCGGGGCAGGGTCCCAGACACTGTGTTCCAAATCCTCCTTTGTCCACTCCATCCAGGAGACAGAGAAGCCCTGCGGGGAGGGGGGCTGGCCACATCCTGGGCCAGGGAGGGCTGGGTGGTGGGGCCCTGGGCCGCCCCAGCCCCTCTCACCGGGGCGGCCACGGGCCTGCAGCCGTGGGCCAGTGCCCGGCCACCCAGGTGTACCGGGAGTGCGGCGAGACCTGCATTCGGACCTGCTCCAACCCCCAGCACAGCTGCTCCAGCTTCTGCACCTTTGGCTGCTTCTGCCCAGAAGGTGAGGGCAGCCACTCTCCCAGGACCCTCAGAATGAGCCCAGAGACAGGGCATCAGCCCCTGCACCACCCAGAGGCCTGGAGCCAGGACCTACTCTCCCCAGACATTGCTGGGACTTGCGCCGGGGAGGGCTTGGCCGCCACTGCTCCCAACTGCCCAGGGGCTGTTCTGTGGGGAGCAAGGGGGTGGGCAGAGGCAGGGTCTGAGCTGGACAGGGCCTGCCGCCCACCAGGTGCAGCACTCAGCACCAGGAGGGCGGGAGGCTGCCAGGCCAGTGGGGCTGAAGGTGGAGGCTCTCCTGGGGCGGTCCGCAGCACAGGCTGGGGAAGGCTGCCCAGCAGGAGGGAAGCCCCAGGAAGCCTCTCTCCTGCAGGTACGGTTCTGGATGACATCTCTGCAAACCACACCTGCCTGCCCGTCTCCCAGTGCCCCTGCGTGCTCAGTGGGGTGGTCTACGCCCCCGGGGAGGTCACAACAGCCGCCTGCCAGACCTGGTGAGTGCAGGACACCTAGGGGGGCATGCAGGCAGGACAGGACAGGAGAGCCGGAGGCGGGGCGGCCTCAGCCCTGGGGGCCAGCTGGGTCACGCCTCCCTGCCCGCAGCCGGTGCTCTGGGGGGCCACTGGGAGTGTGCGGAGCAGTCCTGTCCCAGGCGCTGCGCCCTGGAGGGAGGCTCCTTTGTCACCACGTTCGATGCCAGGCCCTACCGCTTCCACGGCACCTGCACCTACATCCTCCTCCAGGTAGGACGCAGCCTCCACCTGGGGGCCCGCCGCGGGGCAGGGGGCCTGCCACGAGCACCCTGGGCCCTCTGTGCTGAGCTGCCCCTCCTCCCAGAGCCCCCAGCTGCCCGACGGGGGCTCACTCATGGCCGTGTTCGACAAGTCTGGGTACTCGCACTCGGAGACCTCCCTGGTCACCATCATCTACCTGTCCAACCAGGTGAGGCCACCTCGCCCTGCAGCTGGGCGCCCACCCCAGATCCCCAGGCAGATGGGTCCCAGCTGCTGCTTCA